GAAGGTCCCTTTCAACAATTAGCTCCAATTTACATAGCTTTCGCCACGATGTTAAGTATATTTGATGAGTGCCATCATGGTCTACGAGACAGGAACTGTGGCACGAAAGCTCCAGAGGTTCGATCAGCCGTGGTTCTTTGCATCTAATACACAGCGAGTAAATGCTCCCAATTTAGTGAAGGCATTTGTCCTGAGGCGAAAACATTGATTCTCCACTTACTGTCTTTTAATTGTGATGTATCCAATTTATCTTTTTAGGCTATAAACTCTTAGGGGAAAATGTTCTGCTTTTTCATTCTGTATGCTGTTCTCATGCCAGCTTGATTTTACTGCAGAAGAGCCACGTTCAGGTTGAATCATTTTCACACGAGCAAGATAACACTTTCCTACTGCTAGAATTAATTGCTGTAACTTGTATTGTTTTTCTACGACAATATCTGATGTAAAGATGAATTAGTGGTGACAACACTATGAATAAATGATGAGTAACAAATACAGGAATGTTCCAGATGTTGTAAAAAGGTTCTTTTCTACTGAGAAAACTGTTTGCTCATCCATACCATGGTAATGCTTATGCTTAAGTAGCATAAACTACTGTGCATAAGCAACACTGCTTTCAGGATGTCACTAGCCCAGAAAAAAAGAAGCCAGCAAGGATGTTCCTTTTTTCCAGAATCGTGGGTGCTCCATTTTACTGTCATTACCCCCAGGCCTATCTGCTGCCCCAAATCCACATTTACGCTCCCGACATGTATGGACTGGCTGCAGTGCACAGCTCTTTGTTCACAGATATTTAAGCTTAATGATTCACAGGTGATAAAATATGACAGGACTTTTCACTGCCAAACGATCTGCAGGGCATCCTAATCAGCTCTAATAACTGGGTTGCAGTGTAAGGAGATAAACTCAAATGGAGCAGAACATTCATAATACAAGAAATGTGAGATGCTACTCAGCCTAAAGCACCGAAGACATCCAGCTAACACAGTAACTTTTTTTCCCCTTTGGAGGCAGGATTCCTTTTAACTGCCCGTTAAAAACAGTCTCAGCAGCGCGTGAACAAGAATGGCAACTGCTTACAGCCCTCAGCATGACTACTTGCAGTTTCTTTTCCCTTTTCAACTGCAGTGAAGCGCCGTCGGATAGACAATGAAGGTTTGGCTTTTTTGTTTTGTTTTGTTATTGTTTGGTTGGCTGGTTGTTGTTTTTTTTTTTTTAAAACTGTGGTGTTAGGATGCTGCCAGATATGGGTGTTGGTGGGTCTTGCTGCCAAGAGAGGAGGGGACACGCACCGAGCAGGCCACGTGCCAGCTGCAGTGCCTGCCGCCGGAGGTGCCGAGTGGCTCTGGCATCAGCTGCAGATGGGGGCTGTGCTGGCAGTGAAACCCAGAAGGTCACCTGTCCCCGAATGCTGCCTCTCAAAGGACACCTGCCTCTGCATCTTTTTCCCAAGCTGTGCCAGACAAAAAGGTTTGCTGGTGTCAAATACACAAAGCCTCCTCCCTCTGTCCCTCTACTGACAGCCAGGTGAATTTGCAATGCTGTCACTACAACGGCAAAACTCCCTTTGGTTCAAGGCAACCCGCTTTTCCAAAAGCTTCAGGCCCTGTACCCACAGCTGTTGAGATTTTCTCCCTGTTTATTTCTAACACACCAAAGTCCCACCGCCACTGCTAAACTTCCTACTGACTGCAAAAGGGGGAAAACTCCCAAGCACAGACCACGGGATTCCCTCTTCCAGCAGCAAAGATGTGCAAGAGCTTCCCCCAGGATCTGAAGGAGGTTCCCCCTGAGCAAAACCCCTCTTGCAGCCCGGCCAGAGGAGTCAGAGGACCCATGGTTTTTGCTGGTACTGTGCAAAACGCCATGCCTGGGACCCTGGGGCAGTGCTCTGAGTGCTGGAGCAATGAAAACATCTGAGAAATTTAATGCAGCCGATTCGATCACGGAAGGCCCCGAGTGTCCAGTCTCCCTCGGGTAAGAAGTCTCAGGGACCTCAGAGGAGCTGTCGGCATGGCATGAGACTGTCACAGACCTTCACTGATCACACAGAGGAACAGGGGAAAACAAGCTACCACTTCCCTGCTCAGTTGTGCTCAGATTAGGGTTCAAGATACGTGAAAAAAGGAGATGGGGCTGTCCACCCAGTACACTTCACTGCGGAGCCATTGCAGGGGGACCCGGCAACATGGATAAGGGAAGCTGTGCTTTTACTCTCTGGCTGATGATGGATGAGCATAGCGAAGTACAAACCAAAATATCTGCTGCTTCTTCTGGATAAGAATTTTGTGATCATTGTTCCAAGCCATTGTTTAGAAAAAATATGTTTTAAAATAGATACAGCAGTTTATTTGGGGATTTCTTGAACACTTTCTCCCTCTCTCCTTCCACTCAAAGAAAGAAAAAAAAAAGTTTGGAATTCACTATTAGTGAAATCACAGTCAAAAGGTGAGTGCCTATGTGTGTTTGCAGTTCTAAGGATAATGTCTGCACTTTGCATGGCGTTACTGGTGCCCCAGAAGCAGCCAGTGCAGAGGCACACAAGAATTAAGAAGAGGCTAGGGCTGGGCAAATCTCTTGTTGTCCCCTTCCCCATCTGTGCAGTGAGGGTAACACCACTTGTCAGTGGTGCAGGATGCTATGAAAAATTCAGAAACTTTAGTAATAAAGGTTGGACATGTACTGCAGCAAGCCATGTGGAGAAAGCCATCTGATAGTTTCACCTGGGACGGGATTTTGGAGGATCACTCTTAGCTGAAAGCCTTCACACAGGCAAGAATCAGCCCAATATTCTTCTCTAAACTCAAAAGGAGTTTTCAGATCTATAGCACTTTATTTTCTCTTGCATTCTTGCAGAAGGGTACATCCAGGTTCATACTGAGTAGCCTTTGTTGTCTTCGCTTCTTGGTATTTGCCTTACAACGCACGAAATACTTATGTCGTGCAGCAAAACAACAAAGAGAAAACAACAGAGAAACTGATGCTGCACCTACAACACCACTGGCCTCTCTGGTCTGCAAAGCCAACTAGCAAAAATCACACAGGCTATTCTGCAACCCAGAAGGACAGGAAAAATTAGAAGATGATGTGAAGAGAATGTTATTTCCAAGGACACTGGTTTGGTTTTCAAACAGAAAACTGTTATCTAATAGCACTTTTAATCATATTTTAGTTTTCAGACACGTACAGGATGCTCAGCTGAAGGTCATAATAGGTGGTTCTCATCTGATCTCTATGAAGACCGTGGAGACGACTGCATGAAGACGACTTTCTTTTAAACACAAGCTGAAAGTGAATGGTTGCTTTATTTCCCCATATACACATATATAGAAAGGCCACAACTGAAGATCTTGGAGAGATTACCTGTTTGCAGATTACAAAGGCACAGATCCTCAGACATTGTATTAACTTAAAACACATTGCTGATACTTAATGATGAAAGAGTAACCCTGTCATACTGGACCTGAAAAATTTGCTTAATTGGTTCAAATTCAGGTCTAAAACATCGATGTGAATCGTGCAAAAAATTATTCTAATCTCTCAGCCTACTGGTGCTTATTGCCTTGGTTGGCTGGCTTGCCTTTTGGAGAATACTGGGACTAAATCAGTGACACAGATTCTCCCCTGGATTGATAACCGGGAAATGAACAGCAAGTCCTGAGTCAACAAGACACCACTCACTACAGGCTAAAATGAAGTTTTTGGCATCCCACACAATGAAGATATCATCCCGGGCCACATTATAATCTTCCTCTGAAGACAGCTGAAGGAAACTCTCCAGGCTCTGAAACGGATGAACGCCTTCACTGTGCGCGTGTCAGAAAGGCGCACTGAGACATGAATGCCTTCTCTTCCCACACGACACGCCGTCAGTCCCTACCCAGCATCCAGTGTGCAGCTATTGTGTGCACCAGAAGAAGGCAAAGAGAAAACACCAAAAGTCTTTACTTGGGTCAAAGGTGAAAAAAACTGATCCTTCCTGGCCTTGGTGCAATTAGACACAGCCAACACTGAGCATGGGAGACTTCTCAGCCTTTCTAGAAGTATTAACTTAGGACTGTTCAAAAAAAACCAACTCAGCTTCTAAAATTTAAGCTTCAGTGATGCCCACTGAAACCTGCACACACCCACAGGTAAGACAGTTCTTTCCTGGACCCATCTTCCAGACTAAACATCTGAACTAGTCTTTTTCTAATGCTGGTTGGACTAAAACTCCTCAGCTAGTGCGGATCTCTGCCAAGGCAAGCCTGGCAGGCCGTGAAACCCTGTCAGCAAGGCCAGACGAGCTTTGGAGTTCAGCAAGTCTCTCTGCAGGCTTCTAAAAAATGTTTCACTCCAGGGTGATCAACTTTTCCAAAACCAGGCACGATATAAAGCTTTTGAGAGCCAGTTGAGCCGCAAAGCTTTGCTAAGCTGTAGCAAATCAAAATTGCTCTTAATGAAGCCTCAATCTGTCAAAAACTATGTTCAGTCCTTTGATGGATCAGGTCCTGAATGACCGCTTTTTACCACCAATGGGAGTATGTCACAGTGTTGTAGCTGTTCCTGGAACTCAGAGGCACTACTGTGAAAATGTTCACGCCTTGATTTTGAAAAAAAAAAAAAAGCACCTTAAAATAGGAAAATCGTATTCCTTTTCTGGACACTTACTGTATTTACCACCCAAGGATCCCAAATCCTCTAGAGTTATCACCCAAGCCTTGCAACACCCAGCAGAGAGAAGATAAATTTACAGAACAGGATACAGCTAGGAGATGGGACTTGCCCCAGATCAGAGAGGTTATCTGTGACAGATTGCGAGCTGAATCTACATTTTCTTGGCGTACAAACCGGTATCTTAACTGAAAGACCACCATTTCTCTGTATCACAGTGCACTTAAGAGCAAATACTACGCTCAGTTTTCATACAAAAGTGCACAAAGCAGGCAAGGAAAGCAAGGCACAGCACAGTGACAACAGGGAACATACATGGAAAAAAATAAAAGGTTGCCAGAACTTACGGGAGCTGCATTGTTTTTCACTGTGACACTCGGAGTTGTGGCTCGTAGTGCCCCACTCACGCCATGGTAGTATTTGAAGCAGATCTTTGTTTCAGCTAAAAAAAGAGAATTATTTTAGATTAGAAGAACTGCCAGGGAGAAGCTGCACAGTCGGGTGCAGCTCACAGGCATAAGGCTGGCAAGCAGTTAAATTGCAAGTGGTTCATTCCAGGTTGGCTGGCACGACAGGGCACCTCCTGCCTCCGATCTCCCCCTTTGCCAGAGGGAAATTTCATGTTTGGTTCCTGTGACTTAAAACAGTTAAAAACCCAACCCAAGCTCTTCTGAGCAGCTGTTACGACAGACAGACCTCGGAGTACCTGGTCAGCATCCTTTAGCCACATTAGGAAGAAGAAAAGTAAGGACGGAGAAACTCTCCCTGTTCAGACATATCAAACACTAATGTTCAGACAAAGTGAGAAACTTCCTTAGGACAACGAGATTGCATAGTTGCTCACTGACAAGTTTCACTGAATCAATTTGTTCTGACCTTGGTCAGGGCAAGGAAGTAAATAACTGCTCTGACAGTTACTACATTAAAACATGTTTCAGAAAACAGCATAGTACCACAAGACCCCATCTTAGTGTATTTTCACTGACTTCCAAAGATTTGGATTTGGTGAGGAACACAAGCAAGACCATGAGTTTGGCCTCTCAGCGCTGCTTTTTGCCACATGCACTGTTATTCACATAAATACATTAAGTGAGGGAAACTCCATTTTGATAACTGTATCAAGGCACAGAAGTAGTGAAATCAGATTTTTGTTCAGTCACCCCCTTACAACACACCTCCTCACCCGCTGCAAGAAGGAAAGATACTTTCAGCCAGCTTCTCTGTTGGTCTGTAAGTACAAACACACACCAATTGCTAGGACGTGACATCATGCCACTCACTCACTTGCTTGGACCTGGTGACTTGCTGAAGCACATCCTACAGGCAGGAGTTTTCTTCCATAGTCAGCTGGGATGTGAAGTGGGTTGATACCTGCCCACACGCAGCCAGGACACAGCAGGTATGCACTGTATGTATGGGGGATCTGAAAAATGCCTATTTAAATAAAAGCAGCATTCACATCTTGCAGTTTTAACTGGATGATGCCACGGAAATTTTCAGTTGCTCCGTAATATATTTGAAGGTGCTTCTCATAGTCAAGTTATTCCTTAACACTTCGCCTTGCAGCTGCTGCTGAGGCCCAGGGAAAACATCAACCTTTGCCTGCAGAGCCACAATTCTGCTCGCTGTAACTACAGTGCCTATGTAAGAAAACAATAAAGGAATGCCAATGTTTTAACGTACAAATTGCATTGCTGTTTTAACACCAGTAACAACAGTGCAGTGGAGACAAAAGATTATGCAACATTAAGAGCTGGGATCTTGGCCACAGATTATGGTGCTGTGATTGGCTGTTTGGTAGATCCAAAAACCAACCACGCAGCACCCCAGGTGGAAGCTGTCCTGGGTTTGAGTGAGTGGTGGGGTTTTTTGGTGGCAGGGGAGGGGGCTATCGGGGCGGCCCCCTGTGAGAAGTTTCTCGAAGCTCCCCCAGCTCCACGTCAGCTCCACTTCTGTTTGGGAAATTGAGCCAATCGGCTGTGCCTCTGCGATAACGTATTTAAGAAGGGACGTGGTGACGGGCAGTGGGACTGGTGAGGAGGAGTTGCTGCAGCTGCATGAACACCAAGGTCAGTGGGGGAACGGAGGAAGAAAGGAGGGGGGAGGTGTGCCGGAGCAGAGACCCCCCTGTATCCTGCGGGGAGATGGCAGGGCGGCCACCCCCACCACCCATGGAGATCTACGGTGGAGCAGACATTGATTTATGGCCTGTGGCTTCTGCCTGGATAATCAAGGTTCTGTGCCCGAAAAAGGCCGGGGTCTTGTGGAAAAAGGTAGCCCCCGATGCTGTAATTCAGCACTGGGAGGATTGCAGCATGCGGGGGAGTCCCACACCAGAGCAGCTTGGGAAGGGCTGCAGCCGTGGGAGGGAACCCAGTTGGAGTTAGTTTGTGGAGGACTGTCTCCTGTGAGAGGGGGACCACGATGGAGCAGGGGGAAGAAGTTCCAGAAGCTCCCCCCACCGAAGATGGCAGCAGCGGCAGCACTGACTGCACCCCCCATTCCCTGCCCCTGCACCACTGGGGGAGGAGGTAGAGATATCGGGAGCAGAGCTGAGCCCGGGAAGAAGGGAGGGGTGGGGGGAAGGTGTTCTCAAGATGTGGCAATGCTTCTCACTGTCCTACTCTGTTATGTGTTGTTAGTGTCTGTAATAAATGCATGTTCTTTTTTTTCTTCCCCTAATGAGTCTGCCTTTTGCTCGTGCCCATAAAGGGGAATTTTTCCCCATCCCAGTTCTATCTTGAACGCCAAGCCTGGCTCTCTGTCCCTTCTTATTGCCAGAAGAAAAGGGGGAGAGAGTGGCTGCGTGGTGTTTGGCTGCCAATCAGGCTCAAACCATGACAGAAGCAAAATGCAGGGAAATGAAAAGCAGTGGAGACCCTTGAAAACACAGGCTTGAACTGCTTACCCTGACGCCTATAGGTACACAGGAGGAAAAAGAAATCTTGGTTTCTTTTTTGAAAGACAAAATAATTTTAGCATTGTAAAAGCCTTCCCAACCTTCAAATGTGACTTGGGAAATGAAAACCAGAGAGATTATGTTATCAAGTAGTTCAAGTGCTTCTCATTACTCTTCCCTGAGGAGGCACGGGGGACGTGCCGTCCAGTGACAAGAAGCACCGTGCCAGCACAGTTCACCTGCCACTGCACTGTCCAACCCCACAGCTCGTTCTTCATCAGGCAACCAGATGCACAGTTCTGCTCACATGGTGAAAATGCACACTACAGACACGTATAGGTGTCCCTTTCACTTCACAGCACTCCACAAGAAGTGGAAGAAGCTTCAGAGTCCTTCAGCACGTCCACAAGAGCCTCTGTTGCCCATCCTGGGGTTTAATTTGCAACTGCCCCAACCAAGCTTCTGCAAATGTAAGAGAATTACTTGAGGTGTCAGTGCAGCTGAGCAAGCAACCCCGTTGTTGCACCTGGGATCAGCAGTTGTTTTCTTTCGGCAGCAAAAAAGCTGCATGAGCTTGTGGGACTGAAAAACTGCAAGTCCAGATTGAATTTTCACATTGTAATTTACTCTACAGGACTTTTAACAGCTCAGCAGCTAACTCATTTACTCACTGAAAAGACAGCAAAAGCTGAGGATATCACAATAGCTAAAACATGGCGTTCTCAACAATTATTCAAATCTTAATTTTCCTCTCCCCTGGAGACTTTTAGCTACAGTTTGCACAGAATATTGAGAGCTAGAATAAAGAGAAGCTTTTTTCCTTTTTTTTTTTTTTTTTTTTTTCTTTTTTTTAAATTATTAACTCACGTAGTTAATAAAATATAACTTCAGGTACTAGCCTGTATGACAACACTTAGACCTCACAGCAGGAAATCTCACCATAGGTTGGCAAGTACACGGTAACTGATTTCCTACATTGGGAAGAATCTATTTAATTAAACTGAAAGAATTAAGCAGAGAGAACAGAAGGAGGAAAAAAATACAACCTTATGTAGGTATTCTGTATATTAGTATTGCTGTCAAGGACAAAGGATTACTAAGATGATTGAATATGTATTTGGAAAGAACCATGTGGGTATTGAAGATTCCTCTCAGTGTCACGCAACTACTAATTTAATTTTCAGTCAAACTGCCCACATACAGATGCAAACTGGCAAGAAGGCAGCCCAGTACCAGAGGTGGAACAGTTCATCAGGTAGTGTTTGAGGCCATGATTAATGAATGTCAGAGGTTTCATTCAGAGAGCAGATCTGAGAGCAAAAAGCTTTACGGGGGCCTTCACAGACTGAGAAATTGCTCTAGAAACATCAGAGGAACAACGTTTTATTTTTTCTTGATTCCCGGATCTTTTTCAGATTGAAAATACTAGAAGAATGGCTTTAACGCATATAAAGCTTGCAAAATTACATACGGTATCTTTATGTGCAAAAATGCCACTTAGACCTTAGTTGGGCTTTCTTTGGCTGAGAGCCATCCTTTCCAAATAACACTGCCGGTGCCATGTTTTTCACTTCAACAGATTCCTAACATTTTAATCCATCTGAAGATTGTTCTTTTATTCCTGAATCACCTCCGAGACACTTCCAAAACAGATGCAGGCATTCACTGGCTTGGTACCGCTGCCTCCGCAGATGAACAGAAAGCACTGTAAGTACAGGCAAGGCAGTGATATAAATTAACCTGAACGTTATCCAGCTGGCAGTTGTACATAACATGTAGTTATAAGGGCTGTTTGCGTCGTAGTCTTGTAGATTAGCTTGTTGTGGAATAAAGGAGACCATTTAACTCTGTCCTGCTGCCCTAGCTACACGGCACAGTGTGCAGGTCAGGCACAGCTGTCGTCCAGTTAATCCCTAATTATAAATAAATACGTGTCATTGTTATTTTCATCTCAGTAATTATAAGTAGCAGCTCACTAGATCAGGTAATGAAGCTATGATGTTAAAGTCAGGAAGTAATGAGGTTAAATTCTCCTTTCAATTAGCATAAATGGCAGTCGGACTGGTAAATCTTCCAGGAGATGAGATGTCTAAAGATGCCCAGAAATACTTGTGCCTATGACAATTACAAGACTACTTGGTTCAAGAACAAAACAGCATTGTATTTCTTTTACACCAGGCTTGATATCTCCATAATACCATGTTACAGCCTTCCACTGCACTGATATACATAAGACAGTCCCCTATACATATGCAGTCCCCTGCGTATACCCAGTTATGTGCTCAACCCCACTGCTGTAACCATCACGGGTGTGGAAAGTCCAGCTGCCCCCGAGGCAGGACAAGGCAGGGTGAGCGGAGCCAGGCAACAGGAGAGGCCATTCTGGTTTGCTCCTTGCACCCCAGCCCGCAAGCACCTCTGTGGGCAACGTTGGAGGGATGCTGATGGGGAAGGGAGAGGAGCCAGGATGTAGCCCATCCCCAGAAACCACAGAGACCACGCCTCGATCAGAGGGAAATTTTGACAAGTTTGAGTTTTGCCAG